CTGCCCATTTGTCCAACCTGTCCAGGTCTGCTTGTAGCTGTTCCCTGCCCTCCGGCATGTCCACTTCTCCCCACAGTTTTGTGTCATCCGCAAACTTGGACAGAGTATACTTCACTCCCTCGTCCAAGTCGCTGATGAAGACATTGAAGAGTATCAGTCCAAGGACCGAGCCCTGCGGCACCCCACTGCCCACACCCTTCCAGGTCGAAACCAACCCATCCACTATGACTCTCTGGGTGCGACCCTCTAGCCAATTCACCACCCACCAGACTGTGTAGTCATCCAAGTCACAGCCTCTTAACTTGTTCACCAGTATGGGGTGGGATACCGTATCGAAGGCCTTCCTGAAGTCTAAGTATATGACATCCACCCCTACTCCTGCGTCCAGGTGTTTTGTAACCTGGTCATAAAAAGAGACTAGATTAGTCAGGCACGATCTGCCTGCTACGAACCCGTGCTGGTTTCCCCTCAGCATAATTTGTCCTGCCGGGCTCTCGCAAATGTGAGCCTTGATAATTTTTTCAAAGACTTTGCCAAGGATGGAGGTGAGACTGACTGGCCTATAGTTGCCTTGGGCACTGGGTAATGTATCCATCATAGAGGACAGTCTGGGTGTCCTCTATTGATACAAAACTGGATGCCTTTATGTCCTCTATTTTTCTCTTGGCATCCAGTCTCATATTAGAGGACAGAGAACAAGAAAACCAGAATGTCCTCTATGATGGTCACCCTAGCACGGGGACTTGTAGTCCTGTCTCTGCCCCTCCCTGGGCATGCTGGGACCTCTACTCCTGCTCTTCCCAACCCTAACTACTGGTATAAAATGTAATGGAAAAGCATGTAAGTCCCCAGGCTATAACTAAACTCTAAGCACCCTAGGTGTATATCAAACCCCCTTCTCCTTTTGGGTCTTAGCTCCTAGCAAACCTTCAGTTACTTACTGTCAGCCCTTATTGTAGCAAGGTCTCAGTCCATGTCTCTGCTAGAGCCATTTTGGTGCAGAGCTCCTTTCCTAGAAGCCTACAGGGCAAGACTACTTCCCTAGTCCATGCCTCAGGCTTATATGCTTCCTGAGCCCTGCCGCTCCTGGTCAGGAGTCATCCCCAGCTGTATCCTCAGATGTATCCAGTTAGGCTTCCTGGCTGACTTAACAGCTGCAGCAGTTCCCCTGCTGCCCAAGTCAGACTCTGCCGTATTGTACTACTGTAGAGCCACTAGCTCTGCAATAGATGCTTATAGCCTACTACTCTCTGGCAACCTGTGCTTCTTCAGCCCCTAATGAACAGCAACCTTCACTCTAAAATAACAGGGAGCTCCTGGCTCCCTGCTCACTCCTGATAGAGGGAAGGGAAAAATGTCTTCAAGGATAAGTAGTACACAACCATCAATCTTCTGGATCATGGTGTATGCAATAAGAGATCTAGTCAGGTGCCTGATGAATCCACTTCTATGGAGTCCTGGAACCATCACACCAAGACCTACAACATGTATTCCTAGGCAAGTATATGAAGGAGTGGCAGCTGTCCAAGACCTGCCTTCCCTGCTTTAGAGCATTGAGACAGAATTCAAGTCCAGACATTCAGTGTCTCAGTGGTTGTAGCTCCTGCCAGAAAGCAACAGATAAGAATTGCTGCTGACTGCCTAAAACCTCAGCAAAGGCACGTTTCTGTCAGGCTGATATCAGCCTTTCTCCAACCAAGGAGTACCTATAAGGCAGTGCGGCCTAGGGTTTTGAGTTTCCAACATTATGGTATTTTAAAGGACCTACCCTGCCACAAGTAGCCCAACAAAGGATGAGTATTGTTATGAAAAACTAGTGATCCTTCTACCTTCAGAGATCAGGATAAAACTAATTCCTGCCACTTAAGGGTCAGTTCCCATGTGCAGGGGCATGTGCTTGTTGAGGCACAAATAGAAGTGGCACAAATTTGCTCACCATTGCTCACCTGCACATGTGCCTCAGTGCACAGCAAATTTTCCTGTGTAAGGGAGGCTGGGGCCAGCACCTGTGATGGCCCTAGCAGTCTTACCTGCTGGCCTGGTGGTGTACTGTAGCAGCAGGCGCAGCACAGAGTCCTAGCTGGGACCCAGAACATTGCTCTGGATGGCCCAATCTCTGTTTGTGCCAGTGCACAGTTGTTTCATTTGCCTTTTGTTTTGGCATTTTTATTTGCTACTGGGATTTCCAAATTTGCTGCATGACACATGCTTTCATGTTTTCTGCATGCCGTTTATGGCACCACAAACCACACGGTGCTGCACATGGCGACCAGTCCTAAGAGACTAAATGCCAAACACACCTCTTTGTAGATCTTCCTCTTACCTGACCTGGCTTTACACTCCTAGAAGGCAACCACTAAGTAATACAGACACTCAGGACAACAGTTAAAGGCAGAGAGAGAGTTAGCCTTGTTAGTCTGAAATCAGGAAGAGTAAGGAATATTGGTTGTAGCCATGTTGGTCTAAGGACATAGGCAGGCAAGTTTCTTACTACTACTACTGTAGAGTCTCCTTTACTTACCTTTGGTTTTTTTTCTCCCTCATTTCCCCCCTCCCTTTCTTGCTCTACCTTTTGTTTTCCTAATTTCCACCTATTTACATTTTCACTGACATCACACTTTTAGCTTCTTTCATTCCTTGGGCTCTCAGAACAGCAGAGACTTTCTAGGCCTGAAAAAGGGTGATTGCACCCAAAAGCTTGCAAAAAACTTTTTCCAGCTACCCAGTTGGGCTAATAAAAGATATCACATCTACCCAAAGAACCTTGCCTGAAAAGTAAGGAATGCTTTTTTTGCCACCTTTTAGTCAAAAATAGTGTGCTACTCATTTCTTCATCTACCACACCCAGATACAAGATTGATTGGCATGTTTAAAACATTCAGATTATCCTAGATTATGAAGATTGTCAATGAGACTGAAAGAGAAATCTGATTTGAATATGAAAAAGGCAAGCCTTCTTTTGTACGGACAAAAATGGTGCTAAATTCACCTTTTGATTGGCCCACTTAAGGACAGAAATAAACCCCTTGATTATCCAAATACTCAGCCCCTATTGTGGAGCAGTAATTTTTAAAAGTGAATGAAAACTCCTAAAACTGTAGTCATAAGTGAAGACAATTCATCTCAGGTCTGTTTCATTTGCGAGCCAGGTCAGGGCAACATCCAAGAAAAAGCCTGAATTAGCTCTTCAATGAAGACACATTCTCCATGTGTGTTTAATTTTACTACAAAGTCTTTACAAAAAGAAAGTTAGCAGGATCAGCTTTGAAGTGTATGAAGAGCCTGAGCTAGAAAGCAGAGGGAAGGAAGAATATAACATCTTAACTCCAGCTATTTTTGGCTATGCTGCCTGTAATAGTTCTAGTCAGGCAAGAGATAATATCATGTTGAGAGGACTGGGTGGTCTGCAGTTCAAACATTTACAGCCACTATTGTTTGGCTTGAGAATGCATTTTGAAAGACAAAACGGTGAGAACAGTTTCCTTTGAAATGTTAACCATGCCTTTGAAACCTTTGAAATGTTAACCCCCACACAGAAATCTCCCATTCAAACATACTGGTGCTTTTCCCTTAAGTCAGCTGGCTCAACCTGAAAACCCTGAGCACTCTGGCTATTAGGCATGCATCTTGCAACATTAATATAAGCTAAACCATTTACATGCTGTTAGCTGTAAGATGCCTTCCCACAATTCCCCTTATAAACCTGAAAGTTTTACTACAGTTAGTTCACTAAGAAAAAAAAAGAAACTTGTGGCGGTCGAGTGGCAGGCCGAGGCTATGGCCAGTAGCCCGAAACGGCAGGTGGGTACTTTTGACCAATGGAGTGGAAGTAGGCACCGAAGCCTATTGGTTAAACTAAGATTGCTTTACTTACACTGGTGGTGATTACAGTGCAGGACGGAAAACTGACTGTCACGGCGGGGTCCTCGCGGAGGGCCGTGTGCTCCTTAAGGTCCCTCGCTCCGTGTCAGGCCGGCCCAAGGCACCCTCTAATTCTCGCCC